ACTTTAGTAGTGATCTTAAAATGTCATGGGTTAACCAGCATGGGTATGGTCGTAACATGGATGGGATAAAGACAGGAAAACCCACCATACTTAGAAAATTACTTGCATCACTTGTTTTTTAAAGTTTATTAAATAACCTGTCTGAAGTGTGATACTGGAGTGTCATTTTGGAAGACACAGAACTGAACTATTGACAACTGTGCATTAATGCCTCATTCTTTTCTTCGGAGCAAATACTCTGATACCTGTGTTTCCTCTTTCAGCCCCTTCCCCTCCCCCCCAAGTTCACCTTACATACCAGTTTCCTTCTGCCAAAAGTGCTTTTTTCACAGCAGATTGCTCTTTCTTTCCATGCTACAGATACTTGAATTTCACTGTCGTAGAATAAATACATGTAAAAGCAACTGGAATGGTCCTTGGTCATGACTTCCAAGAGATCACTGTTCTAGCTTCATTTGCTCACTGTTAGTAAGGGTTTTCTTCTGAAAAACCTGCAGTGCCAAAATGAAAAATCACCATCAGAATTTCCTTATTTTAATGTAATTTTTCTTGGAACAGAACAAATTTGGAAAGAGCAGCATTTCCTGCGATGTTAATTGTGTTTAGGCTTGTATGTTCTGTAAAAGCCTTGTGTTTTCAAAGGAGATATTTAAGTAATCTTCAAAACATGTTGTCCTGAGAGTTATTACTTGTTAATATACCATTCTGGTTTACAGGCATTTGAAATTGCTATAGAAACATGCAACAAATGAAGGCTTTGTGTCTCAGTAAGGCTGTGCATGGGCTGTCAGCAGCCCTTCCTCATGGAAACTCTGTAGGTGAACAGCCAGGAAATCAGACTGAGATGCATAGTACCAGCCAAGCATACACACACACCTCCTACATTTCAGCATTTCATTTTGATCACACTTGATATATTGACAGAGGATTTTAGAGAGAGAGTTTGGACAGATGCGGTAAAGTATTAAAGCCCCATTATGCCTTATTTTCTTTTATTTTTATAGTGTGGTAGCAATAAGCATGATTTTTCATGGCTGTTCTTTGCAATTAACTTCTTTGGTACACATGTTCTTAGTTATTACAATAAAGTTAGAGAAGTTAAGCCTTGCTGCCTAATAGTGGGGATTTTGAGGCTGTTCTTAATTCCTGTTTCTGGATTTCACATGCATCAAATTGCTGCTAGGTGTCTGGCAATATAACATGTCTCCAAGTTCTAAGATAAATACCTGGAGCAGAAAAATTACAAAAAGAGAAACAAATAAAAGATTACAGTAAGTGATACGTGTAAGTTTAAGTAATAAATCAGAACAATTATTTTTTGTGCTCTATCTAATGTTTCCAGTACAGCAGTGTGAACTCTAGCTTCATTTTGGGGGACTACCTGTCATAAACTGTAGGGCAATAAATGGTGTTGAGATTTCTGCTCTTTCTACATAGTAAACCTATAGTAATAGTGTGGAGAAAAGAATATAGTTGAATTTGCAATTGCAGTGATGATTAGACAGAAAAAGATTTTTAAGAGAAAAATAAGGAATAATTTCAAGACCAGGATGAATTGCTTGTTTTTATAGGTTTTTTTAAAAGATATTTTTAATAGCTTGACAAAATATGTCTGTTGTCACTCTCAGAAAGTTTTATTGCCTGAAGGTTATCAATGAGTTAACTAGCAGATACCATTTTAAGTTACTAGAAGCAAAACTGAGGGTGTTTTTTGAAGTAAAGTTTTCATGACTTATGGCATACGTTATTAAGAGCTGAAAAATCTATTCTGTTTCTATTTATTTTCCAAATATGGACTGGGTTGTAAAGCTGCAAAGATGGAGTACTAAATTTAATCTTTATTTTAATGCTAATTTTCATTTTGGAGTTGGAGGGCGTGGAGTTTTTTCTGTAGTATTCGGAAAAAATTTTATGCTCAAGTGATTTTTATTTCCCTTTTACTTACCATTAAAATCTCCTCAAAAATAGGAGAAAAAAGTAAAAATCTATTGAAGCCATGGTATAGTTTCATAGGAATACTAGTGCATTATTATATGGAGTTACCTCTTTGAGCTCATTTAAAAGCATTGTGGGAAAAAGAGAAAAGAGAAGGTGTTAGAATGTTTGCTTTTGTCTAAAGTAAATCTTGAGGTACTATAATTGCATATGAATGTTACCATTTACATCTGTGTTCATTACAGTGCATTTAAAATTGCAGCTCTTAGATTCAGATACTATCCTGAGCTTCTGGGGAGTTACAGCTTGATGTGTAGTAGCATCAGACTGCAGATGGCTTTGAAGTCTTTAGTCTGATATGGAAGGCAAAAGTGAATCAGGAGTGATATGCCCTTGTGAATTTTTGCTGTTTGGACAGGTAGCTGTCAGGTTAGTGCTCTGTTTGGTTCACATTCATGTTTAATTATGTGAGTCATTCTTTGGTAGTGATACGGATCATTATAACTATGTCTGCCGGGATGAACTCTAAGTCCTGGCTTGGAATCAACTTCTTTGTCTCCCCAGCAAGGTTAAGTTACTCCAATTGTCTGGCACAGTCTCTCTGAAAGGTGATTTCCCTATCAGTTACCTGAGGGATATGTTGCTATTGTGATTGTTTCAGTTCTTTTCAAAGGCTGATAAGTTTCCACATCATAAGTCTGTCTTTTTTGTAACCTCATCTGTGTGCAGCAGAGGTAACACATTCAGAACCTTAACACATCAAAACAAACAGAATTTGAAAATGTTATGTGAAGTGCAGAGTCTCTGGAGACAGCTAGTGCCCTGAAGTCTGCTTTACACAGAAGAGATTAACACCATTATTCTATGTATAATCTCCCCAGCAAAACACTGTCGCCTATTTCTGTCAACAAATGGTTTCTTTGCTTTGGCAGCTGAAAGAAATTCTAGTTGTGCAGGCAACAGAACATGCCTTTATAAGTTGCAGAACCCGATTTAAAAAATATTTTGGATGGTAACTGCAGTTTTGAGAAGTTAAATTACTTTCATTAACTAAATATTTTTTTAAACAAGCTAAAAAGACTAATTACGTCTGCTGCGTCTGACACACTCAGAATCCATGCACAGGGCAGGTTTGCTATTTCACAGTACACCTTTTCAAAAGGTACTGTTCCTTGCAGACACCTGATTAAACGGTCTGCACATAGCCCATGCAGATAAGGTACACTTTAAGAGTGTGTTTTCTGAATAAAGGTGGAGATGTGTTCTTACTGACAGTCTAAGAGTCCATAAAACTGTCACACACCAAAGGAAAGAAGATAAAGAGGCTCAAGTAAATGTCTAATATTTCCAGAGACCTCAGACCAAAGAAATTTGAGGGTTGGGGATGGAGGAAAATAGATACCACAGCATTTACTGTGTAATGCATCACAGAAGTCATATTTTAATGGAATTGAGTTATAGCCATGATCTCTGTATAGTTATATAGCCATAGACAACGTGTGAAAGTTTCTTTATTTTATGTTAATAAATGTCAGTGTTCTTTTTTAAATCATCGAATTACATTACTAGTTAAAAATATTATACTTTTAATAGAAAGTTTCACTGTTTCCCACAAGAAATGGTTAATACAGAAATTAGAGCTAAGATAACCAAGATGTACTTTAATCAATATTGTTTTGCCTGTATTCGATTTTCTGTATTATGTCAAAACAAAAAAGTAAAGAGTATGCCAAATTTTGAATTTAGTAGTTGAATCAAAGCTACTAAATTTCATTGCCTGGATGAAAGAATTTCTTTACCTAGATGAAATAATTAAATCATTGTTCACAGCTAGTAGAGTGCCAGATCCCTCATGGCAGCAGAGCATTCGAGCCCTCTTCACAGCCATGGCAGGGCAGAAGTGGATGAGTGTGCAGATCCCTGTGCCAGGAGCTGCTTCCCTCCTGGGACACATGGCTGGGCACGTGTGTGCCCTGTGCTGAGGGTGCTGCTGCCTCTGACATGTGGCGTGCACAGACTGTGCAAACAGTTTCTTATCACTTGGCTGAGCACACATGTGCTTGCTTTGTAGGACTGGATGCAGTTTCTGCCATGCTGATGGATATCTCTGTTTTGTTTACATGTGGGGAAAGATGACAACAAGAAACTAGGGATTAATTGCAAAAAAGTGTTATGAAGCCATCAGCTTATTTCTTCTGCACATCTAAAGACTGATGGGGAACAACCTTATGAAAATTGTGTCAGTGCCTGTCCTGGTGACAGTTATAATGACCTTTCCCTGTCTTATATTTTAGTTTGGTAACTTACCCTTTGTAATTACAACTCACAGATCATTGAAACAAATTATTAATGTTAATCAGTAAGTCAGCATGCAAGAATGCAAAGAATCAAGTCTCTCCTTGTATGCTAAATGAAAAGATTTCGTCCAGATTCTTGCTTTGATCATTAGACTCTTTTAAATAAGCAAACATTACTTAGTTGCTAAGCCACAGACTGAAGTTCATTAGTGTGTTAGCACAAATATTGGAAAAAGTGTACTAAACCAATATTAGAGAACCTGTGCGTAGGCTGGAAGTAATGCAATGAACGTGACACCAGAACATCTTGAAAGAGGGCTCAGAGTGATTAAAGCCATTTCTGTTTGCAAAACCCCACCCCACTCAGCAAGAAAAAGTGCCAACCCTGAGCTGATCTGTTTTTTCTGCTACTGATATCTCTAAGACCTTACTGGAAGTAGGATAGATTTAATAATCTTATAAACAATTTTGTGCGTATTCTTTATTTTAAATGTTGACGGTTGTAATGATGTGGCCTTTTTTTGTCTAGTGCTGATCCTTAAAACTGGTTTTCATTAGAATGCTTTTAACCACAGACTGAAAGCCAGAATGACATCTTACTTAAATATCCTGTTTGGGAGCCCAACTCAAAATCCTGGCAAATCAGATACAAAGATATTGCAGGTTGTTGAATTTTACAGGAAGTCATGGTAATTTGGAATTTTTTGATGTTCAGTGTATTATCTTGAGCAAAAGAACTAACAGTCCATGTTTTTCCATCCTTCACAGATCTTCAGTACAGTGAGAGAAGAGGAAGGAGCAGAAGATATTTTTGAATATATTCCTCATCTTCTGCGAAAACTCCCAACGTTTGTTACAGACTGTACATGCAAATGTGATGGTTTCTGTGTAAAACCATGTGCAACAGGTGCTTACTGTCAATATCGTGCCACTTTACAGAGGACTGCACTCTCTAACTATATAACTGGTGCTTTACTAGAAGCAACTACGTCATTGGGAGCAAGAAGTGGTCTTTTAAATATCTTTGGAGGATCAACTGGAAGAACAATGCTTAAAGGTAATGAAGATTTTCTTATCTCTGTCCACTTCAAGTATAGGGTGGATTACAAAATTATTAATACTATATAATATTATGTAGTTTATATCCTCATATAGGAAGTTAACAGATAGAAAAGGTTTTCATGTTTTCAAGTGTTTTCCTTTCCAATCATTGTGTGTCATAATGACTAGCTATGTTAGTTTAAGGAAGCAAAAAGGCATGCAGAACTGGAAAGATTCTTGCTACAAAACTGACATCTTTTCAGTTTTTGTTCTTTTTGGAATCTTTTCCACTGCATTCAAAGTTAATGCCTAAGCCATTGTTTTTAGGGTGTTCCTCTGTGTGATATTTGTCATTGACCAAGTGCTCCTGCTCATGGACTAACTTGGCTCAGAACTTGAGAAAAGAGTATATATACACACTACTTGGTTATTGTTGTTGTCATTATACAGTTAGTTGTCAGCGTAGCACTGTGTGGTTAAATATGTACAATTCATTACTGATTTATTGTTGGTCTTCTCCCAGGTCCATCATCTTTCTAGTATTGGATCATTTCAAATAATGTGTGCATTGTCTATTTGGAAAATGCCTGTTGGAGGGTGGATGTTGCATGCTAAATTTCCATGCTGATCATCTTTGTAAACAATAAGAATGTGACTTAGTCTGGTCAGTTTTGGAACTTAAACAGACAAGGGCATTCTTAGTACAAATTCATTGCACTAAAACATGGTTTTGTACAGAATGATACCTGTATTATCAATTAACTTTTAATTAATGCCTAGAATATTTCATAACTTACTCAAGCATGTGGAGATTTATCATCATCTGATATACCCTAACAAAAGGGTGTAGGATCTCAGTTATACAATGATAGAAATCATGTATGTGGATATTATGATTTGTGTGGTTCTTCAACTAATGCAGATACTGAGCTCATTCTTACAGACAAATAATGATATAGTTTATGCTTGGATCTGGTTGTCTTATTTTTATTCTAAGGAGTGATCCTATCAAGTTTTAATTAGACTCTCTTTAGGTGAAGCAAATGGCAGAGAGAGGCACTTAAAATATTATAAGAGGTACAGATGGCAAACTGTAGCATCTGAGTGAATTTCGGTACGTTGAGTAACATTACTAAACTTCACATACCATCATTGTCTCTGAGACAGAGCTATGTACAGTACAGTGTCCTATTTTGGTAGGGTTTTCCTTTTTATATTGTTTGGGTTTTATTTGTTCTGGGGACATGAGTGCTTTAGAAAAATAAACATGTACATTCCTGTGACAGCTCTGGAAGGCAAGGTTAAAAGAGCTGAGTTGTGTACTTGGTGGTGCAGTGTGGTGGACCTTCCTCCTACAGAGCAGAAGAGAGCACAGAGTTTTGATGCCCTAGACCTGATTGAGACTCTGAGGATGCTCTGTCCCCTCAGTATAAATGTCAGCCTCCTGCAGGGCATGTTGCTACAAGGGGCTGAAATGCCCAGCTGGTGACTGTCACTGTAGGCTCCGGCAGAGTTCTGAAACTGGAAGCAGCATCAGTAATTAGCTCAGGCTCACTGAGCTGTTAATATGGCTGCATCTTTTTATGGAGCCTGACCTAGTGACTGCACGTGTGCTGTGTGCCAGCACACTTTGCACTAGTTTGGGGACCTCTGTGGTGCCAGAATTACATGGTGTATGTTTTTGTTGTTGGATTTATCACTGGACACAGAATGGCATGGGAATACTTCACTTGATAGTTGTTTGGAGGTGTTGGAAAGGGAATATATTGATTCTGGTATGGTTTAATATTGTTGTGGTTTAATCCTGGCAGGCAGCATCATGCTGCCATTCATTTACTTCCCCACGATGGGATGGGAGAGAGAATCAGAAAGGAAACAGTGCAGAAATTCATGGATTGAGTTGAAGACGGTGTAATAGATAAAGGAAAAGCTGCGTGCACAAGCAAAGCAAAATACAGAGTTCATTCACTACTTCCAATCAGCAGGCAGGTGTTTATCCCTGCCCATGAAAGCAGGGCTCCATCAGGTGTAACAGCTTCTTGGGAAGCCAAACACTGTAACTCCAAATGTACACCCTCT